TTTGGGCCTTCAACTTTACAGTTTGCTTTATATGATGTATTATAATGTGAAATTTATGGCCTCTCCCTTCTACAGCGCATGAGTGCCATAAAGCCCTTGCACCAGTTCCTGCTCTTAGGCACGGGATTCCACACGCTAAGCCTCCTGGGAACGAGTCTTGTGGAGGAGGAGCACCAGACTGTCTACTTTTTGCTCAGCAGCCTCCACGTGGGCTTCATCATCAGCCTCATCGTCCAGATCAAGCGCAAGGTGCTCATGGGGAATCATTCTGGCTTAGGTCGACATGACGCGGACGCAGGAAGACACAAAGTGGAGGATGATTTGGTGGACGAGGATGTAACGGAGTTGCCCACGCGGATTTCAGGGAGAGGCTCAGAGGGAGTCACGTGGATGCAGACCCTACGAAGGACGCCCGTCAAGCTGCTGCTTCTGTCGGTGGCAAGCCTGTCCCTGAGTCGCCTCATGAGGTCCTGGAATTCCACCGGGGACAAGTGGAAACACCTGGAGGACCTAGGTGATGGAATACGTGCTGCTGGTGGCTACGTCCTTCTGGCAGTGGTTCTGGCCGGCCTGGTCGTGGCACTCGTCATGTTTTCGCAGAACTGCCTACCACTTGTACTGGTCGGCTGCGCTTGCATCTTTGGCCGTCACTTCCCCCTGAGTTCCTCGGGGGGTGTCCTGGAGGCCCAGTTCGCACACTTTGTCATCTTCATCCTTTTCGTGTACGGGCTTCTGAAGGCAAAGCTGATTGACTTCAAGACGCCCAACTCTAAGGCCAAGAGCAACCTGGATGTGTTTGAGCCGGAGGAGGAGAAGATGACCGTCCTGCTCAGGTACAGTGTGACGGCTCTCAGCCTGCTGTGTCTTCTTCTCCAGAGAGCAGACAACATAGGGCTCTTGGCTCTGGTCATGTTGCAGAACTACATCATGTCCTCTGTCTTGTGCAAACTCATGGGGAGTGGCTTGATCTCATCCGGTGCAGCTGCCTTGGCCGTCAACTGGCTTGCATTTGCTCATTTTTTTTACCAGGTGAGTTGTGTGAAGTATTTCTTTTTGATTCTTTTTTCTTTTTGTTTGATAAAATGATCTTGAATGATGAGAACATATAACACGATGAGAAATAATGTTTACATATGGTATGGATGTTATAAAGGACTTGGAAAAACACTCATGATATCCTTAACAAATGTAGTGTTTTGATGTTAGTTTTAAAGTGTCATAGCTTTCATCAGTATGTATAATGAGTCGATGTATGTTAACTTGGTATGTGAATATAAAAAAAAACATGAAATTTCTGAGCAGAGCATATGTAAAATATCTATACATATCTATTTATATTTGTTATGTAAAACAAATATTCAACAGGGTAACAGCAATAGCCTAGCCACCATAGACATCAGTGCGGGCTTTGTGGGCGTCACCAGCTATCGCCCTTTTGTCCACGGAGCCCTCATTGCGACGCAGACTTTTGGAGGGACTTTCCTCACCTATCTCAGCTACCTCATGCAGATCATTTCGAGGGATGCGCAGAAAGAGAGGTAGGTGTGGGGGGGGAAGGTCTTTGATGGTTCGGCTTCTCGGGGAGGATTGTTTCCTTATGCTTTGTGTGGTTTGTCCTAATCTTTTTTTGTTATAGTTCTTGGGAGTTTTTTGCAGCAATATAATTTTTTTTTTCTTTTACTCTTTAAGTATGATTTATGTTACCCAGCAGTGATGGGTTAATTGTGACTCTTTCTGTCCGTATGCATATGAGTACTTAGTAATAGTGAGAATATATATTTATTATATATAGAGAAAAGTTAAATTATGACATGTACTCTGAACTTCACCAACATCCAAACAAATATAAGTGACAGTAACAGTTTCACAAGACATATAGTTTCTATTTTAGTACTACCTTCATCAGAATTAGCTTGAGAGGGTAACAGCAATGACATGTTTATCACAGATTTTGTTATGCAAAATAATTCATTCTCATTAACATTTTTTTTAACCTTTTTCTTTACCTTGATACAAACCACGTCATTTCAGATGGCAATATCCCCTGTTTGTGTGGTGGACTGTAAGGCTGGCCACCGTGAGTCTCTACTTAGTTAACGTCACTTTCCAGCGGCACCACCTCTTCATACTGACAGTGTTCACTCCTAAGCTCTTGTATGAAGGGGCTCACTTGCTTGTTCTGTGTGTCCTCACCTTGTTCATGTGGAGTGTTGAAAAGATATGCACAGTGCTGGAGGTGAGCTACAGATTTGAGTAAGTGTGGGGTTAACTTGAACAGGGGAGAAGTAAGGTGTACAAGGTTTATGAGAAGAAGTTTGATTATATTGTCTCTTTTGAGTATTAGGAATTGTCTCCTGTGGGATGTATGGAGGGGTGAGAATGGAGTGTTGCAGATCGACAGAAGAGGAAATGGTTGTGATTATCTGTGCATCCTGTGCTTTTATTTTTGTTATCTACTCCTGTACAAAGTTCATGCTATGAAGTAAGATGTTGTACATATTGTATTGAATTCCTTTTTAATGTTCCTCTTTAATACCGTTGTTAAATTTTAGTAGGAGGTTTAATAAGCCTGATAGCTTCATTTTGTTGTGAATATTTATAATCCAAGCATTCTGAGAGAGCTATTAAAAGCCCTATAGATTATGGAATGTGATGAACTAGATAGACAGAAATGTTTGCCTAACTAGGGATGAGCCTTTTTTTTCTTACTTTAGATAATTTTTTCTTGTCACAAATGGCTGTTAGTAGAGTTGGCTGCAATTAAGCAGAGGTCAAGCATTTGATACCTTTTTATATGAAATGTGTGTTTTCAAGTCTTCATTATTGAAGAGTATTGATTCTTGTTTGATTGCTAGAGGAGCAAGGGTTATTGTGTTGTACATTTTATTTTTAACTTGTACGTTTTTTTATGTGATTGTAAGTTCTTACTATGCAATATAATGCATAGTCATGTGTTAGCTTTTATTTGATTGAATGATACCTTGATTGCATTTAGTTCTCGTAAATATGTGGCTTACATGTGATCTGTTTTCCTTACTAGCACCACTAAGCTCTCGGATGGTCTGGCAGAGGTTAAAGTTGTGCTTATTGAGGACTTTATCAACCTAACTGGTGTATTCCTTCATCTCCTGTATGACTATGGACATCATCATCTCTTTCTATATGTACAATATGCTTGATTGGTAAATATCAATAACTTCAAATAATTGTTCAAACTGTAAATTAATTTGTGAATTAACTTAAAGTTTTTATTACCTTCAGTGAATTCAGATCAAGTCGTACACCTGCTGATTGAACAGCTTGTTCATTCTCAGACTGAAATTAGGATGGTGCTTTCATAGGTACCCGGAAAATAGTTAGGTCCTTATCAGCTTTGCAATGAAAAAAAATCAGCATAAACATTGATAAGATGTAAAGAGATTGCCACAAGTTTTTTTTTTTTAAGTTGCCTTAGGTTTCCTAAAAAAAAAAAAAAAAGAGAGAGAGAAAAAAAAAAAATGCATATTTCCCTGATTTTCAAAAATTTGCCAAGAATAATTGGGACTGATATTTAAAAAAAACTCTGTGCATTTTGATGAACTTTCAGCTGATACCAACAAAATTTAGATTGAATAAGAACTATTCTTGAATAGTGGTACGGGAGTCTTTTTTATAGTACAAAGGTTAAAAGACGAGATTTTTCAGTTCATTTTCTGTTCATTTCCTTCAATCAGTTTTTATCATCTAATTAATTTCTCTTTCAAATGATGTTTATTGCGTGAAGATATGAAGATTGGTTCCCAAGTTATAACAAATCCAGAAACAAGATTATCATGTGTATCAGACCATTTATATTAATGTTTTCATACATGTACAAGTGTTAATGAGTTTGTGCAGGTCTGTATGGATGTAAATATCCACATATAAACTCTTGTTTTTATTATTATTATTATTATTATTATTATTATTAAAATTATTCAGTCTTTTTTTTGTGAAGGATGACCTAAACTCATTTCTTCATTTTGAATTAAAACAAAAGTTGCAGTTTATAAACATGTAAGGAAGTTTACCTTATGATACATAGTGAATGATTCATTGATATTCCAGCAAGCTTTTGAAATTAATTCAGTAAACTTTGCATGTCTAGTACTTTTCTATCTGTCCTTTCTTGTGCTGAACATTCTGTCTATTTTGTGATAATTAAAATAGGAATTGTAGGCAGCCAGACATCATAGATAAAGCTCATAGAGATTTTACATTTCTAGTCCCATAGGCTGTGCACTTTAGGTATATTTATTACATCTATTATAACAAAGAATTTATCAAGAAATATGCAGTGGTTTGTGGTTTTACGAAGGATTTACAAGTAGGTGATCCATCTTGTTGTAGTTGTAGCTGAGTAATGTAAAATTGGCAATTAAACTGAACCACTTTGGACAGATGTGGAAATAAGGTTTGTGTAAATAGGAACATGTTTATTGATATTTGATTGACATTTTGAAATTACGTATTCTTGTGGATATAGATTACACAGCTTTCAGTATGGTGATATTCCTTATATTTATTATTTTTTTTCTTTTCTTTTGGTTGGTAAGATAAATTTCTCTTTTTTATACACAGGAAGTAAAGGAATCCAGGGTTAG